TTTCTTCGATTATTTTTAAGACAGAAGCTAAGTAATTACCTAAGAGGCAATGAATCGAAGATGGATCGTAATTGCAAGCAATTTGCCGGGATCGGTTGGCATAAGGTTAAGCAGCTGCTTGTAATATATTATTTAAACGAAACCTTGAAGGCCGCAGGCCCGCAAATAGAATGAAGCGAGCGGTGATCGAGTACCCCTATGCGTTTTCTGAGGGTGCCACATAGGCGGGCGGTAGTAGTTACATCCGTTTCAGAACCAGGAAAACATTCCCCTCAATGAGACGATGTGGTTACGTAGTTACTTCTCTCCCCGGCGCTGTTCTCTTGACTGTACTTACGTGTCTCGAACAGGTTACAAACGACGGGCGCAGTATTACAACCCGCAAATTACGGGGCCCCCCATTTGCCCCCCCCCCCCACCCCCTGCCCGTTTCTCCGACTGCAACACAAATGTGCTGGTCCAAAGCTGGTGGATTACACGGTTGACTGTGAATGAAAACTGGAAACCTCCTTCTCGTCAGCTTTCTCTCTTTGAACGCGCAGACATTTGACATTTTCGGGATATATTAAGAAAGAATATATTAATTAATTAGTAAACCAAGTAGGTTAACTTAAAAGATAATTGTGAAAGTAGGAATTGAAGAAAGATTGACGATGATCGATAAGAATTATACATATGTATAAATAAGATGCATTGATGTAACTGTATTTATACACGGAAAGAACGATTTTGTTGGAAACTCAAACAGTTGCTATCAAGGTTGCTATAGAATATCAAAATTTGTTTGCAGCACTGGTCATAACTTTTTAGAGTTTCCAATATATAATAATTATTTCGATGATCCAACAAAATTTTAGATCTTCCAGCAAAATTATTCTGTGTAATAAAAACGTGATTCTTAACGCTAATAAATATAATAATACAGTAAAAGAATAATATATGAACAATATTATAATATTTTTACAATAACTTTTCGTAACAATGACAAAGATTAAATGTAATTGACTCTCCGGGCGAATGAAAATTTGAATGCCAGGGGAAAAACACGTGATCACATATGGAAGCTAAACGGAGGAGGTAGTTCTTCCGTTCATAAATTACAATATTCGTGAACCACCCCCGTCGTTAAGCGAATGCGTGTTTCCCGTCGCGCGGTGGCTACGTGTGAAATTCATTTACGGAATTAATACCGTGGATTTGCTAAACGAAGAATTACGGCATGTCCCGCGTTCGCCTTAATTGCGCGAGCAATACTATTTGCGTCGAGTTAGAGATTGGTTCATTTTACACCATTAATTTTTTATTTTCGAATTACCGTATATAATAAATTAACATGTTATGTCATCAGAGCTTTCTCAATTCTATTTATAATGACTCTTATAATTATTTTTTTATAAATTACCTTTTAAAATATTTCTTACGTACTGTTAGGAACTACGTTATTATTTAAATTAGTCAGTTCATAAATCATGTTAATAAATTAAAAGAAAAAAATAATGTATATATATATAAAAAATATAACATCTTTAAAAATATATAATTAATTATATAAATGCTTTTTAAAAGTATGTCCATTTTTCATTTAATTTTACATTATACGTTATGGTATATTTATAATGAGTCATAAATATCATTTTTACGGTGATAAATAGCCGCATGTAAAAGTTTCATTTTGCGCCGCGGTTTAATTTTCCGGAACGTTGAACCCGCAGGATGTTGCTCGCGTAACCAAAATCCTCATTTCGCCCAGAGGCGATCCTTTTCACCTCCTCGGCCCGTAATAACGCAGGAGTCTGCGTATTACGTCGTTTGATTAATTAATTTACGCCGATGAAGCGCCGGATTACGAACCCTCAGGGCTGCAAGCTTTTGCTTGCCTCGTCTTCTTCGCGAAGAAACGAAGTAAACAAACGATTCCATCCGCTTTTCCAGTTGCCGTTATACACCTAATAGTGTTAACATTAACCGTGACAACAGTTGCGCAGACAAGCAAATAATTGCATCGTGTAAATTTGCTAAACGGCGTGACTGCCGGTTCACACAAAGGTATATCTTAACTCTCTCGAAATGGGCTTTTCATTGTTTGAAAATTGTGTTCATATAACATGTTATTCTCTAAATGATTTCATTTACTCTATTATCGTTCTTGAAATTTTCTAGCAGTTTAAGTTATATAGCAAAGAAATCTGAATTCCGTTTATTTCCATAAAATATTAGCATAAACCAAGATTTATTAGATATTGATTTTATAAAAACTCAATATTATGGCAACGATTTTAATTTTATATAAAAAATAAAAGCAATATATTTATATAAAGATATTTTATCTTTTTTTCATATATATATATACCTTAATATATAGATTTTTATCGTCGCGTAAATAACTTTATAAACTATTAAACGCTAATCTTTTATTGACAATAATAAAAATAGCTTTACAAAATGAAGAAAAGTTTGCGATAAGAAAGACAAAGGAATAGTCTCTACTGTGCCGTTGAACACGATTCTTGAGATAACAATGAATAATTGAAGAAAAGACTCCGAAGGGGAGGAACACGCAAGGAGGCGTCTAGTATGGGAAACTACTTTCTGTGTTAGAAGGGTAGGAGAGAGCATCGTATACACTAGAGGTACGAAGGTACAAGCATTAATTTTTGCGAGTGTGAGACTCGAGGGACGAGTTGCATCCACGATGCATCTCGGAGGCTGCGCCGTATTTTATTGCGTGAGGTTTGCAAGTTTACATTACCAAGAGAGGATCTGTTAGTTTCGGTAAGGTAAAGGTTTATAGGGCGGCGAGAAATGTAGAAGTATTCGCGCTACACCGTTATAAATGGCCGCAACAACTGCAGTTAGTCCTAATAGGTAGAATTACTACAATGTTCTTCAGTACGGAGCGGCGTATTAAACAGAATAATCATGTATAAGTGTCGTGGAGCAAAAAGGAAAGGATATGCACAATCAGCACAAACTCTGGGATTTTTTTCAGTATTAAGTATTTATTACATACAAGCATTTTTTACAATATGAAGTATTTGTTTCTTTAGACATGACTGATGATATTTAGCATTTTTTTTCGTTATTGTATATTTAGAAACATTCTCTCGTATTCTATTTAATTACCATTATTATTAGGTATTCTTATAGAATAGTTTTAATAGAATCTCAACCAAATCTAATAAAAATAGTATAAGTGTACACGTGACGCAGGGGTAATATACGGTGTCCAAACGATTAATAAATATTTAAAAGAAGAACTAATATAAATAAGTTTCATACAATAAGTCGTAACGAATCGGGCGTTTCCAAGTTCGTTACAGTTGAAATTTTTACAAGACAAACGCAGAAACAATTTCTCACGTGAGAACGGGCGATAAAACGTGTCAATAAATCTGTCACTTTGCATGGTTTCAGGCTGTGTATATATACGCTTTCCTTGCTCGATTTTCTTTTTAGTGATCGGACATTTTCGGTGTATGAACAAGTGACTCACGACGCAACTCTGTACAAATACGCTCGCTCTAACAACTCTCAATAAAAATATATATTAATCGTTCATAAGAAAATATATTGATTATTCGCGAACGATAGAATTTTTCCCGGCGCCCGAAAAATAAGTCGCAAATGCGAACAAAGAAAAATCTAGAATTTAAATAATTATTAACGAGAAAATTTGAATTTTATAATACACATCAGTTCGATAAATCCTCTACGCCGATTATTATAAAATGCGAATAAAGTAAAGAGCGAGGGGAAAAGGGAGATAAATCTCGCGCGTAAATGTACGAAAAAAATTGAATAATAAACAATTTGTACACTAATCCTATCATTTTTCTAGTGTCGACGTTTCTTTCGATCATGTTTTTCGAACAAAATCAGAATAACAAAAATGCTTTCTCTATTCTTGTTATAAATAATTTGTCGAACTCTATATCGTGAAATAGGGCGAGCGCAAAATATAAAGCATGCTACCGATATATTCCACGTCTCAGAATTTTTATGTTGCAAATAATGACAAGTAAAACTCACTTTTTGGACGTTGCAGCGATATTCGCTTTTACGTTATGCATTAACGTTGCGGTATCGATCGTATTTACCTTCATCGAATAAAGTGCAATTAAATCCCATCCATAGTATCTCTCGCATAACCATTCTTACAATTAACATTACTAGATCGTCACTCACCGTTAACTTATGCAGCGGCTATCTCACAAAGCAATCAGCATTATCGTCTTCGTCATCACAGCTAGAAAATTTATGCACGATCCGCGAAAAAACGTAACGATAGTGAAGTCTAGCAAATACCTAGAATATATACCAATGTTAAGTAGGCCCTCTAAATGAAATACGATAAAAAGAAGAAAGAAAAAAACAGTAAGATTGCTTGACTAGTGAGCGCACGTCCCAAAATCTGGTATGGAAGAAAAGTTTTCTCTTTTTCTATCTACTTTTCCCCATCTCGTATCTGCAGAATGTCTCTTATGAATCCCCTATTCAATAACGCGCTTAGATCTATTCATGAAATTGTTATAAGATAATACCACGCTACGTTATCTTATATGTTAGGGACATTCTCTAATCCATCGTTTTGGCAGATACGTTCTCAGCGTTTGATCCAACTTCTATTTTACCTCTCTTCTTCTTTTGCGTCTTATATTTTTATTCATCATTTACTCTCCGCGCAATTTCCAATTTTGTCATCTCTATTGATTAACGCCTCAAAAATCTTAATTGTAATCTACACACGCATGTATGTGTGATAAGGGCGAAGTCGTGTGTGTATATGTGTGTTGCGTGTGTATGTGAGAAAAAAAAATTTCACGTCGATTCGTTATCGTAAAATATGTCCGTGTAATGAAAATGATGTGTTACAAATAGGCCTCAATCCCCTTCCTTTAGAAAGTTACATTTGTCTAATAGCGTACTACGACACACAGATTGAGTGTCCATACTTGCTGTTGCGTAATAATAATCAGTTAACTTTATATATTATTTTACACTTTCTTCTTCCCGATGACGACGCTCAGAGCTCGGCATGATTGTGAGGTACAGGGATAGTCTTTGCGCCCTCATTCTCGCTTCACCGAGATATCCCCTTTACACATGATACGTCGCGCGACGGCGGTTATTTACATTATCATAAACAACAACGTCTCGTTCCGAATGCTACCGCTCGCTATGAGCAATTCGGTTGCCTAACTGCTCTTTTTCTGTTCGTCCGGGAACGTTTAAGAGACACCTTATGATAGTAGATCTGCGGAGAAGAACAGAGACAGCATTTATACAGGAGTGTTGTCCAGGTATTTTCGATTAAAATGATATATTAGTCCATTTATAGTTGTAATATGTAGGTTCTATAAAATCGCGATTCCAGTTTTCCTTATTAAACAAAATCCAATGATTAAAAATGTAATAAAGACCTTGATTTACATACCTGGTACTTGATTGTTATCCTGTGGCTTGCTGATGAAATTGTCCTGGAACGGATTAACATTGGCATTAGTGGCAGCGGGCACGAACCCCATCGGAGTAAACGGCATCGCCGCCGGATTCAGATTGGAGTTGAGGGTATCCTCATTCGCCAGATTGGGCGTCAGTTCGAGTATCGGCCCGGTATCGTAGCCGGTACTGTTATTACTCAGAGTATCGAAGTCCGACAGGTCTAACAGGTTGTTGGTCACGTTGTTTTGCTTGCTACAAAACGAGCCAAATGAAAAACATACAAAAACTAAATTGGTAGCCAGACATACGGATTAGGGACTACGACTTAAGCGACTATTCACGATCACTAATACGGAATCGCCGCCGCTAAATTAGCTAAGCCGATTGCGAACGATTCATTAACACCTTCAGTTGAATCACTAAAACGAAATGAAACGGATTCGGATTTTATCGGATAAGAACATAGTTCGTGATTCTATGTACATCTAAAAAACGTCATCAACTGAATGATATAAAGCTAGATAAAAATAACTAAATAACGTATCGGATAAATATAAAGCGCTTATGCGTCAATTGTTCTTCTGCGTCATTGATATAACTGTTTCTCAAATTACAGACTTTAAACGCCTTGAGGGGCAACTATTTTGATGTAACTATATAAACAACTATTATAAGCGATGAAGTCTGATAGAAATTGCTTTTATGCGTAGCAGTACTAACCAAGAAGGTCGACAACCTTTTGCGGTCCTTTGCAGTATCCAATATATATCTTTCGTCTGCTTTTGGCCGAATAAAAAAATTTAAATATAACTAATATATTTACGTATGTTATTCTGTTGTTGGATCGCAACAGGTTTCTGTTTAAATAACTACGGGAATCAGTTAGTTAAATTGATATACACGTGTCAACTGTGTAACTATAATAATCATAGCTTGCTAGAACATATTACAGCAAAACAGCAAATACAGATCTAATTACATAAAAAATTGAATCACATTCGACCGATTCACACTCGTCGGATTAAGATATTAGAGAAGAAAATTCATGCCACGTTTGGTTTCTTCTTCTTTCGTTTATTTTCCTATACGGGTACCTTTGTGTAGGATTCGTGGATGTGGTGTGCGTGAAGAGACGTTTTCTCACGAAAAAGTACTATATCGGAAAATGTGGAAGTAAATAGTACATAGCAAAAGTAGGCAGTAAGTTGACATATACCGCGCTTGGTATACAATACACACAAGCATGAGGAACTCAGACAATCATTGTGCAAGGAAAAGAACAAGCCACACCATATCAACGTTAGTTAACATGCATTGGTGATTTGTTACGAAAATCAGTCGCACTTACGGTACACAACTGGTCAATAAATGGAAGAACACTTTTTATTAGTACCTAATTGGAGGAAAGATCAAAGAGAGATACTCAGCAAAGATGATATTTACAAATTATTATACTATATATACTTATTATACTATGAAAATGTTAGTTGCATTTAATGTAACTGCGATACGTTATTATTTTGCTACTTTGCAAAAGTCATGTTAGTATTATTCATCCTTGCTGAGTTGGTATATTGTGAAATCACAAAACGAAATTTTTCGATGACTCATTAGATTTATGCCGTTTGTTTCTCTTTACATTATATATACTGAGATTTATTTGTCCTATGTGATTTAACATTAAATGTATTCTGCAGTTTTGTTAATATTTTTCTTAATTTCATATTTTGTGTACGATATTACATAACGTTCTTCCAACTCGTTCACGTAATACCTAATGACGATCGAAGTACGCGATTCTCGTTATCTATGACAATCTAGCTAAAAATAGTATGTAAATTTGCCGTTAATACATAGCTGAATATCAATTATAAAATATATGTAACTATTACAATAGATGATGTACAATATACATTCTCATATTTGCAATCTCATCACCGCGATAGTAATGTTAGTCTCATAATTTATTATTGATAATATGTTGCTAATCGTGCAACTAATCATATCATAAACGGTGAGTCGCAATGGCGTGCTTATTATGCTCGTCAACCGTTATTCTGACTACTTTTGCAATGTACAATACGCATGGGTCACTCAGAATATTTGCATGAAGCGATAAATGTTCGGTGAAATTAATTTCGATAGGCAGTTCCTTCCTGTAGATGTCTCAGGAAAGCGCAGTATATAAACTTTTTTTTACTAAATAACTGTTTATTATAATAATGTACATATTGTTCATTTGCTACAACAATATAACAAAAATTGTCATTCTTTAATTGCAAAAAAAAACCAGAAACATTAAGAAAAAAAAAAAAGAAAAATATATACTTTAAAAGTATATACATACTTTTATTCCTTTACGATCAGTTCTTAAATAAACATTTCTCATTTAAAAATTAATATTTCCTACAAAACTTTATTGATTTAAAACATTCAAACTTATTTATTAGAAAACTTAGTATTTTGAGTTGTATCTTCGCTGCAGCAAATGAGCGATATATATATATACATATATATATATACACGCGATATAACTTTGAAACTTAATTCACTTCAATAGTTAACCGATATTACAAGACACAATTATAAACAACACAATTTATTATATATACAATGCCTTTCATAATAAAGCTTTTAAGAATACATCTAACAATTTTACATTCAACCATAAATACAAGTTCAAATAATTGCCATTTCAGAATCTGATAGAATCCCTCTTGCCGGTTCGGAATCTGATAGAACCCCTCTATGTATGTGTACAAATCTAAAATTCGAAATAATCAATCTGTTTATGGTGCGATAATAATTCATTGTGATTTATCACTACATCATAGAATTTTTATCACACCTATTTACAAATAAAAGTGTACAATATTTAATTTAATACATTTGGCGTGGCACGTATTCTCTATAGATTTAAATTAGACAGTGTATTCAAGAAATTTTTATACGGAAATTTTTCTTTTTAATAGGTGCCATAGTAATATTTGACTTTTTAATTTTCTGTAACGCGTAGATGGCTTTATTGTATATTATGTAAATAAGAATTTTATGTTTAATTCATTTTACGTGCAATATTTAAAAGTTGATCCTTTTATTGCGGATTAGTCGAATATCTTACGTGTATGATATTCATTTAACGTTTAAGTTCTTTTTCCGATCGAGTAGCTATACTGTTGACTTTGTAATAATCAGTCCATTTTAATTAAATAGTATATTGGCTAGTATCGTGCAATTACTTATGCCCTATAAAAACGTAAGTGATATTGCACTTTACCTATCTGTTTCATAGTGTTATTTTACAATTAACTATAAAATTAATTTCTGACTAATTAAATACAATAAAAGATTGTTCAAGTTTATTTTTCGTATCATGCTTAAAAGATACTTTCGCTGTTACGTAAAAACATTAAATCTCCTTGATATTACATTCTTGCCTTTAATATATTTATTTTTGGATGTATTTTTCAATCGTATAATAAAATTGGATTTAGCAGCGTATGTTGCATCTAAAATCTTGAACGCTTTTGAATCACATCGAAAATTATATGTCTCAATGCCCAATTAAATGCGCGTTACCGCAAAAAACAAGTTATTACTATGGTATATTATTGTCCATCGATCTAACGAGAAAAGACGCATATGTTTTTTTAACTCTCGGTCGACGAAGGTATAACACGTTTACGATTCCGTGGTTTAGAATTGGTATACTTACACAGTGGCATTGTCCAGCGTAATCGATTGACTGTTGATACCATTTCCGTGATTCGTATGATGACCGTTCAATTCTCCTTCAACGTTACCCTGATTATTATCCAATACAATTTTATTTTCGTTAATGCCGTTGCTATGTGTCGTGCCGTTGTGCACTATATCAGGTGCAGATACACTGTTTTCTATGTGATGCGCCCGTTGTTCGCCGCTGATAAATTGCTGAGTCGCCTCGGAAATTAAACTAGCTGTCATGACGTCGTCACCTTTACCGTCCGGCATCGGTTTATTCTCGTCGGTAGGGCTATCTTCTTTTAGCTTGTCGCCATCACCGCCTTCTCCCTGTACATATTCGTTGTAAGAGATTATTTAATTTTGTTAATTAATTTATTAATTTATATGTAAACTTCAGTCTGGATGAATTGCTCCAATATTAATAATAATAATTTGAATAATTTTTAAATTTAATAGAAGCATTAATATATTTATATAAATGTTTCTCATATTACCTTGGTAGACGTATTAGTTTGATTTTTGCCTCTAGTCCTAAGCATAATCGCCTCGACTCGTTTGCGTCTAGCGTTGCGTTCCTCTTCTTCCTTTTTAAGCCTCTCAGCCATCTCGATTCGTTGTCTGTAATTTAAATATATTGGTATCTCATCATGTAATCTATTATTATAAGTTTTCCAAAAAGATAAAGAAGGAGAAGATTTTAAACCAACTTTTCTGCTTCTTCTCTCGCTTTGCGTTCTGCTTCTTCTTTTTCTTGTTTCTGGCGAGCTTCCTCTTCTCTTTTTCTTCTATCTTCTTCCTCACGACGTTTAGCTTCTTCGATTGCCAATTGCAATCGCTGTTCCTCGGCTTCTCGAGCTTCATTAGCTAAGCGTATAGTTTCTTCCTCCAGACGACGTTGCTCTTCTTCCTCCGCGCGCAATCTTTCAGCTTCTAGACGTGCTTCTTCTTCCTACGGAAATTGACGACAGATGTAAAAACTAAATTGATCTAATATTAAATTGATTTTGTAGATGGTATGTACCTGTCGCTGGCGCTCTAATTCCGCTTCTCGTTCCGCTTGTTCTCGAGCTAATCTTCTACGTTCAGCCAAAGCGGCTTTTGCTTCCTCTTCGGTGGTGATTCTGATTTTCGCGATCATTGAAGCTGTAAAGTGAATCATTAATATAGATATATATTCACCATTAAATCAAGAGTTTGTCACAAATCATTCGACATCGATAAAATTTTGATTAATCATACCTGACATGTCAACTTGCTCGTCCATTTCACCTTCAAGCTTGATTTCAGTCATCTCCGGCGATTTCTTCTCCTGTTTATTTTCCTGTTTGTTCTCTTCCTTTTTGGCGATTTTCGACGGTTCTTCCGCAATAGCACCAGATAGATTCTCTTGCATTAAATTAGTTTCGTCTTTGACTTGTTTGCTTGTCGACACAGGTTCTGTCGCTATCTTTGTATTATTAGTTATAGATTCGACAATATTCGCTTCCTATTGGAAAAAAATGAAAATGAAAATTTGAATATACATCTTTTACTTCAATATATAAAAATTATATATTGAAATTTACCTGTGTCTTTTCGCTACCCTGATCTTTCTTTTCCTCATTTTTATCCTCCGATTTCACATTCTGCGTCTCTTTATTCTCATCCTGCTTTATGATCTCCACGTTAGTTTCGCGAATAAGTGGTGCGTGCTCAGCTCCGGGACTCTGCAGGGGTGTCGCTTTCGGAGTTATTCGCGGTGATGACTTGGCGTTCTTGATTAATTTCTCCGTCGGCTTTCTCACTTCCGCGACTTTGGGTATAGAAGGTTTCTTTGGAGTGCTATGGACCTTTGGCAGTGGTGGCTTTGAATCCTTCGTTAATTTCGTGTCCACCAGATCTATGATAACGAGAACGATCGAGATATTTTCTATTCTATCGCATGTGAAGCTTCTCGAGTACATACATTTATAGTATTTACATGTGCAATTCTAGCAATCGTGAACAAAAATAATATATACAAGAGGTTGAAAATAGAAATTTAAAAGCAAAATTTCATTAAAAAATAATAAAATATAAATTTCGTAAAAAAATAAAATTTAAATTTATAAAAAAATATATTGTTCAAGAGAAGAAAAGATATACGAAGAAAAAAATTTCGGATAAAGCCAAGATGTCGTTAGACATGTATATATGTATCTTTCAGGATATTCGGATTACAGAGAGGGGCATAAAAATAATTTTTATATTTATCTCCTCTTCGACATAATTACTCCAACAGTAGTGTAGTAGTGCTCTACAATCTTCGTTAATCGAGGATTTAGTTTTGGATTAATTGTTTATCTTTTCTTTTTTTTTCTAGTCCCTTCGCTGATCCTCGGATGATGTAAAAGGGCCGATAGGAGGAGAAGTAAAATGGGCATGCTCACTGTGTTTCTCTGTGACCGAGACACCGGTACCGGCAATAGAAGCAGGCCGCGGTCGGCGCGACGCGGCCGTGCGGGTACGCAGATTGACGTTACTGCTGCCCACGCTGCTGGCGCTCTGTTGACTCATGGAGCTGTGCGGTCGGGACGGGCTGTTGGGTGTCGCTTCGCCGCTGCGGATACCTACGCGTACCCACCCAAGGTAAGTAATTTGTTGATCTTTTCGATGGAAACTTGAACGCGATCGCGCAGATCTTTCGATAGAGAAGCACGGCGGTGCAAATGAATTTCTCGTTTGTACTTTTCACACTTTGCATATTGAGATCGTATCGCGCTTGTGACGTTGTTGTGACGAACGCGAGGTGTAGCAGGTGAACAAGAAACACAAGCACCGCCACCGACGTTCAAGTGCAGTCCGTGAGAAAAAACAAGAAGGAAAAGAATACAGTCGGAACAAAAGAATAAGCCAATACAAATAAGACAAATTAAGCGAACAGAATAAGAAAAAATAAATTATAATCGCACAAAAAAGAATGAACTGAAAATAAGAATAAAAAAGTAAATTAATTAGGAATAAAAAAATTGCACACCAAATACGAATATATACATTTATAATACTAAGTGAATTGCAAAATAAGTTATATAGCGATATAATAAGGTATAAAAACGTGCAGCTTACCGGAATGTTAGCTCATACCTTCACCCGTGGTACCGAAAAGCCGTTGAAGAGATCTTCCTCAGGAGCGTTTTGTTAATCAATTCGGAAGTCAAAGAGCCGGCTGCATCAAAATCGCGTTGACAATGCTTAATTAAATTCTCTTCCTTTACATTATCAATTTAGCTGTTCTTTAATTAATGCAAATTGTGCAGATGTTGATACAACCGGCTCTTGATGTTAAAAGTGATAAAAGAGTCTGCCATCAAAATATAATATTAAAAAGTATAGAGATTTTCGAAAATCGATGGGTTAATTATACCTCTGAGAAAGTATAATAGATAGAAAAAAGTTAGAATAATTAATATTTCGCGACTCTTGAAATTAGAAGAAGAACATCTTTTTTTATGTTCACGCCGTGAAATAAAGTTGGTTATCCCGATTGACTTACAAAGACTCCTTTTCACACTTATTCATACATGTGTGCACCCAACTCTGATTGAAGTTTTCTTGTTAGACAGTGAGTGCATTCATGTGTTGTATTTTTATTCAACTTTGATTTATGAAATCGTTTCCCATTTTATTGAAAACCATATGCCAAGCTTACGAAGCTTGTCATTAAGCAATGATCAGTTTGACTATGTACAGTGACAGAAATCGACTAGAAAACAAATTAGTACAAAGCGGGTGATTAATTATTCTGAGAAAAGCTATAATGTTGATCGGAGAAAGTTATATCGCATAAAGAGGACATTGAATATTACGAGATAAATTGATAAAACTGTAGTTTTTATGTATAAAAAGAATGTGTGATCTATTATTGAACTATCGCTTAACTATAATTATACTGTATAATTATTAACTATAATTGTTCATCTATAATTATACGATTAAGGCTAGACCTCTACACTTTCTTAATACAAAGAATGGAAAAACTACCGATTTATTTCTTCGGAAATCGTGGGAGATACTTTTGCTATGTACAGAAGCTCGATTTAGTTTACAGAAGGATTCGAAGTAGTCGAGTTGAGTGCACAGTAACACTTACCTTGTTGCTGTTGGGTCTGTTGGTACTCGCGAGCCTTTCGGCGTAGTCTTTCGGCGCGGGTGGGTCTGGGCATAGGTGCCGCGCCCGGTAGCGTGCCCATGCTACGCGAGTTATCGGAGCGTTTTAGACTCTTGGCTCCTCCGGGCGCGGCCAAGTGCGACATGCTGCGACTCATGCTAGAAGCGCTCTGCAGAGGCTGGCTTTGCTGTTGTTCCGCCAACGTGCCGAGTTGTTGCTCGGTCGTGCGTTTCCTAGGCTGCGCCAGCTGATCCAGCCTGGACATGGAGTAAGTCCTACCTGGCGAACGTGTGAAGGCCTTGGCGCTGGAGCTGCGTGCCGTCGACGGCGGGCCGTCGCGCGGGGACGGTATCGTCGGCATGAGGTCGGTGCGTCTCCTGTTCACACGTAGGTAAACCGAGGTCGGGGTGCTGGGCGTGCCACCGTCGCTATCATCACCTGCAAAGAATCTCGCTTAGGGTGTCGCCCGTACTGCGAAACGAGCGACGTCCATCGATTCGTGGGGATACGCGACGCGGCTCGCTCGATGGAGAAGCACACTCGAGTAAAGAGTTTCTCTGACGCGCCAACTCGGTCGCATTCAGATTCTCATCTCTCTTTTTTCTTTGCTATTTCTTTGCGGTTGTGTTGCTTTGCTTTTCATGCTGTGTGGGGATGATGCGGAGAAGTACACTGAGAGAGATTTTATTCGGAATTTCATAGCTGTAAAACTGTAAAGTACAATATATTCGCGTTTGCTTAAAATTTCAATGCGAAAAAATTAGTATATTTTCAATGTAAATAATTGAAGAGAGAAGAGATTTTTATTAACAAAGGATATATACTTTTTGAACGATTTCTTTGATAAAAAATATTCTCTCAACGTACATAAATCATGTATTAAAGCACATGTAAGTATTTAAATACCAAATAGGTATCAAATTTAATGTGCATATTTTATATACACATTAAAAGAAAATACATATATTATTACGATATTTTTTGTAAATAGCACATAAAAAACATTCAAAGATAACATTCAATTAGAGTTAATCAAACAAGTTCTAAAAACACAGCAAGAAACCCATCTATGCAAGCAATAAACCTTATAATATTGACGATTATAAGTTTACGTTAAATTAACTAACATCATTAATTGAGTTAGATTTTCACCGCCGTACTTTGTTACAACGTGCAATAATTTTATTACTAAACTACAATTTAAATTTTATTATATAGTAAATTATCGAATATATCTTAAGTTGTGTATGTAATTGTTAATAAACTAATAGTTAAACGTTGAATTGCGAGATATATGTTTTAATGAAACAAATGAAAAATTGATTGTGACCGATAATCGTCCTATTAAATCGTATTCGCGACGAATTCATTAACAAATAACACTGATTGTGAGCTAAGTATTAATTAACGTACTACGAACTAACAAACATACTAATATAAACTAAAGGTTCGGCTTGCAAAATGCACGTTGCAACTAAATATTAATAGTGTCTAGTGGTTAGTTTGTGTCAGTTACGAGATTAATAGGAATCGCATATGGATAGGCGAACTAATTATTGCGTGATATTGGTTGCCATATATATGGTTTCACTCACAAATGATTAAATCGTAAAATCCACCTGATACCAATATCATGCAATCGGGAAGGAGCTACCGAATGAGAGAAATATGTTCTTATACGGTGTTAAATGAACGTTACATGCGTTGATAGAGTGTAGTGAAGTAAATGAAAGACGTAATGGCGTAGAACACGAGAGAGAAAGGGAGAGTCCGACGAGAACAAGTGCTAAACAAAACGAGAGGTAAAGGATCGACAATATTCATGACGAACAGAAACGGATCTCTCCCGGCTTTCTTGCAGGCTTCTGAGAGATCAGGACTCACCACTGGCAACCCGCTGAATCATGGGACGCCTAGTGTCGCTATCGGACTTATCATCGACGGCAAAGATGTCAGTTGTGGGGGGCAGAGAGAGGCTGGCTCTCTTATGCTTGGCAGGAGTTAAGGGGGGATCGGGGCTAGAATTCCAATTGAACACCTCGTACATGGACGAGGACATTCTCATATCTGCGAACAAACCATTCAACGCAACGCAAATATTAGGTATTCCGCGAAAAGTAGTCTTCTAAATAGGGCCGGGATAATGAGAAAAATAAGTCGGGAAAGCATAGGTATCAGCGTGAGTTAGATACAGTGCGAATCGCACACATGTTGTCTCCCTTTATTATTTTATTTTCCATACACCTCACTATGCAGAACCATCACCGGTAAGTATAAATCATAAAAGGGACAGAACTACAGAGAGGAAACGTAACCCCAACAGTTAAAAATTATTTCCTGATATCTTAAGAAATCTATGTATCTTCCATTTCCTTCCAGTGGTTTCCAAAATGTTATTTCGTTAAAGAAAAAAAAAGAGAATGTTCGGACAGAGAGGGAAGAATGTGTGGATGAAAGTGTGACGTTTACAGGGTGAATACTAACCGAGCAATCTGTGTGTGCAGTGTAATAGTAAAAATAAATGATATCGCGTAAAAAGCAAAACTTGCGATTTATAACGCGGGATTCAAAACGTTCTCAAGACTCGCTTGTGTAACCAATCTCAAGCTGAAAATACGTGAATTCGGCTGTCGATTAAAGGAATATTGCCATAAGAGTGTACACAAAATAGGCTATAGAGAGTGTAAACCTGAAAGTAAAGAACCAAATATAAAAACTTACGCTATGGGCAAAATCGCGATACAGATCCTAATAGTGCTGGACAATCGTTCTTTCATGCCTCGCGATGTCGTCTTTGCAATTTCATACAATTTATAACACACGAAAACAATATTTTTTTATTTTGATCGACTATTTAAGAATTCAAAAAACGCAATTCAATTAATTTAATCTTACAAAGAGAGAAGTAATATCGCTTCAGCTATTCATTAATTTCCATAATCATAATAATTCACGTATTTTATTAAACATAATTATTTTTATTACTATTTGCATTCCACGTTATGATAATAAGTACAACAACTTTACGCAGTGAACAGATTGAATTTTACAGCAAATACTCTATAAAATTTTGTTTTTTTCCTGCGATGGAATCTTTTCTTACTGTGTAAATAGTAGTATCGATTATCACTAAGAAAAATATATCGTTATCGGAATTGAACGTGAAGTATAAGCTGCGAGAAGACGCTTTCTTCGTAACGTTTATTCGACCAGCTCTGAAAATCGACATGACATAGAAAAAAATTTTAAAAGCGATGACGTGATTAAATGACACATTCCTCATGAATCCGCGACAGAAAGAACGATTATAAGCTTGTACAACAAACATCAATCATCAATATATATATGTCGGATGTTCGAGCAAATAGGGGTGGAGCAAGCAAATGGAAACGGGACGTGAATTCATCGATACGATTTATCCCTTCAGAACGTACCATCAGATTTATCTCGCTTCGAATAACAACCTTCGAAACATCATCGCGAAAGACTTACAAAATACCGTCGTATATTTAATTGTAAGATGACTTAACTGTCGTTAATCAGGTGTTTAATCTCGATCCTTCTCGTTATGCGATATAGCGTATACTAAGTATCCCGATCCGTATTTATACTCACATTGAAGTAAATCCGCTTCCGAGTCGCTCATCATGCGTGTTCGCATCAACGATCGTTGTTGATTCGACGCCCGACTGAATTTACAATAAATACTAATTTGCATTCTACCGGTGCACGGTGCAGAATAAATACGACGCGTGTATTATTTACCCATCTTATGCGAGAAACGGAAAAGCCTTTAACACTTTCAGCTGCTGCTGAGCTACTTCATATTACATATTTATATTTTATGAGATATTTCTTATACATCACATTTCAATCTTCTCTCTGTGATAAATTACAGAATATTATTTACGAACAGTTGCCCGCACTTTAATTATGAACACAGAAAATTATGCTGGATTTTAGAAACATACGAGAGATTCATTTAACCAAGACTGAAATTGATCAATATTCGTGACGTAGATCAGAGAATAAAATTATCGTGCAAACATTGGTTGAATCAAATTGCATACTGTAGATTGATATTATAGAAGAGAAACTATTTAGAAATATTCCAAATTCTTCGGAGTCTACCGGAGAATTCTCGATTGAGAATAGTTTACATAAAACAGAAACGACCAAATATGTATGTAGAAAGTTTAACATCGCGCGCTGAAAGGGTTAATCGAATTTCCACGTGCGATATGCAACTAACGTGCTCGCATCGCCTTCTTGCCAACTGATATTTAGTGAACTTTGGTGAATTGACGTAATTCGATCGATCGATATTTGAAGAAACATATTGACTGACCTTCGCCCGGTTTCCGGTCGAGTCCACCAGCGGAAGTGGCCCGTTTCTTGCTGCCATCCAGCTCTCTCTCGGAGGATCTCCTAGTGAGGGGCTGCGCAGCAGAAAACATCATGACATTGGTAGTGGAGGTGGCCCTGCGGGTACCCCAGACGATGTGCGACCTCTCATTCCTCTTCTTTGCCTCGATGCGTGCCTCTCTCTCCTGATTTTTACGGAGGATAGCCTCCCGTCTCTCTCGCTCCGCCTCGCATATCAGCCGTTTTCTCTCTTCGACTTGATTTCGTCTGTACAAAAAAGCGACGAAATAAATATAAATTACAAAATGAATCTAATTTTAGACATAAGGTCTGTTTTCTGTGGCTGAGCTAGTACTACATACTTTTGAAACTTAAAGTGAGATAGGTGTATATTTGATATTTGGCGAAACCGAGAAAGAGAGTTCTAGTGCAGTCTAGTGTAGGAAACAGACTCATAATTTCAGAAACTTTTTACAGATAAGAGACTAAATCATTTCCTATTTTACGTACAGAAGTATTAATTTCTTTCAACAAAATATCAAGATACACGTAATTTAAGCGGAAAAGGATTTACAAATGTGTTCTTTAAATTCTTTATCTAAAATTAATGAAATTAATTTATCAATTGGATCAATTGTAAAGTCTCTTAATTGCGGCATTTAAAATCAACAAACCTGTCGTTATCACGCGATCTGAGTTCATCGATGCGTCTTCGTCGCTCTTCCTCACGCTGTTCGCGGAAGCGTTGCGCGGCGAGAGCCTGCTGCCTGAGCTCCTCCAATTTCCGCTGCCGCTCCTCGTTCTGCCTCTCACGGACGAGCTTCGCCCTGTCCAACTCCTTCGAGCTTCCCGTCGACTCCCGTCCTGCGAATCACGCGAAACAAAAATATTCAGTATCCGCTTGCTAATTGCAAAAACTAATTGCAAATGTTTAGTTTGTGCTGACTGTTTTTCACAAACAAGTGAATTCGATTAGCGATCAACGGATCTTTTTTTTTTAGAATCTTATACGAAGAAGTTTTTAATCGCAGCTTCACTCAATTATACATTTAGTAATATAAATTTCAAGTTAAGCGGGTTTAAATACATTGAGACAATTTACAATCGAAATTATAAAAAATCATTATAAGTCACAAATAAAAGGGAAAAAGTTTGCAAATAAAAATTAATATTCTTAGAATTTGAAACAATTCCCAAAGTAAATGTAATATAAACATATCGTCAATAATATCAAATACCCAAATAATTAATTATTAAAAATAATTTATATAACAAGACAAGTGTGTGTATGTATACGTATGTATATGTATAGGAATAAGATAATCAAAGGAATGTTAATCTTATCTCATTAAAAAAACAGCTAGAGAATATATACATATATGTATATATAAAATACAATAAGATAGTAACAAAAATAGCTATTTACAAACGAAATATTTAATCAGAGAATATGGTAAAATACATGGCGCGATTAGAGATAATATTCAATACGAATGAGTTTATTTATTATTAGGTTAACATATAGATACGCAAAATTAACATGAGTAATAACTGCCATCGTTATTCGTTGACTGATATGAATGTTAGGATTAAAAGGCGTTATTATATCTCATTAGTATTATCGAAAAAGAAAGAATTTACTGAGAAGAAAGAAGGAAATGGTCTGTACAGTGCCCTTGAAAACGTTGGTACCTTCATTGTCGTAAGGACGATCGCCATCGAGAGAGTCCTCGTCGTAGAGACTTCGCGGGCGCTTCACATCTGCCAAGAAGAAAGCGAGACATGTGCGTGTACATGTAAGATTCAAGTATTAATAAGACTACAGCATGTACGAATGAATGTATGAATGAATGAATAAATGGTTATTAAGGTATGCACCTGCTGTGTATAGTGATATAGTATATGTGTGCTCGCGCGGTTAAAATGAATGGTTTGCATGCACGTGAGTGCTCGTGTTAATGCAAAATTGTGGACAGATGTTGCAACGAAGAAAAGTAATGGATAAATCGTGATGATGTTAGTATCGATAGGTTCTGGTAACTTTTGGTACATAAATACAAAATTTTATTAATGAAATAATTAGGAATTAAAAACTAAGGAGTACAAAATTGTAAATAATAGACCATTCTAGTTCTTTTAATGCTTATATCAAGAATATCAAAACGTTGTCTTTTTATGCCTTCTCTTTGCTTAGTAAGCTTCTAAGTGAGTGGCCCAAATATCTCCATTTTATAAAATAACAACTCTCATTTTTTCTTTAAGCGATGTTTTCATCCCGTAATCTTCGTCTGCCTTTTATAATTTTTTCGGAAAAGATAATCAGACTATAAGAAGAAGGCTGTGTAATAAATCTGCTCTTCAGATATACGTTTTACAAATACGATAAAAAAAACGAGGTTATCATAATGTGAAAAGAAAACCCATTTTCATTGAATATTAAAAATGTAAGCCGCATTCGCTAAGAAGCTTTCAAGGCGAGCTGAAAATTGCGCAGTAGCGAAAAAAGTACGTCACATTTTACCAGCCAATTTTATTATTATCAATAATGAATCAAGATGAAAATTGTGCAGAAAATGTCATAATATTTAGTATTCTATTTAATACTATACAAATCCTGTTAAATTATACTGACAGTTCAGAAAGAAATGTTAATTAAAAAAATAACGTCAGGACTTGTAAAAATATATTACTTGAAAAATAAATAATATTCGCCTAATATTTTTAAGGCATAGAGAAAAAACATTTTTACACTAAACTCATATTTAATTTATTACATTTAAACAGAATTCACTCGCGAATGCAACAATATTTTGCGATATTAATATACAGCGATAAATTTTTTATAATATCATTTATTAAATTTACAAACGTATCAGAAGATTAGTTTTTAAACTGAAAAGCGTTAACCATTATTTGTTGAACACGCACTCCGTTACACAATTGTCAAATTACAGAACTCGTTAGCGTTGTTATTCGTTGCAGGATGAACTCGATTTTTATATATCTTTCGAAATAGTACGTGTCGACCAAAAAATGAAAACATTTAACATTGCACTGAGAAAAATTCTGATTGAAAATCAACGAATCAGAAGATTCTGATTATATCAGTCAGAGTTCTTGTTTTCTCAACTAAAATTATAATAGATTCAACAAGAAAATTCTGTTACAATATAAATAATATCAATTCTTTTCGCTCGTATAACTTACAACAAATTAATAAATAGTAAAACCCAGGTCAATACATTAAACGCGAGTTGTAGTTAGGTGTATTAAATAATATTTATTAGTCACAAATTATAATTTTCCGACGATATGTTTCAACGGTAAGTTTCAACTATACTTAGTCCTCATCAGTCACAGAAATACATAAATACTCAAATATCTAATTATATTAACATATTATGAGGAACGTCTCACATTCGAGTTACAATAGATAATATAATAGATTTTTAGGAATCATCTCACCTTCGTGTTACAAATGACGGTATATCGCAACCATATTATGTGTAGTCAAACTTAATAAAAATAAACGATGTAGTGAAGAATCATGATTCCGAACCAATTCATCGGTTAATAGCGAGAAAGGGTAGTCAGTATGAATAAATGAATAAATTCCAGTCATATTAATGATGTAGCTCGATGTCAAATCATATAAAAGGTTGTATGTATGTCCTTAATAATATTGGTAGAAAAACTAAATAGAATAAATTACCATCAAAATTGAAACTATAAAGACATTAAACAGTTTGTAACTTAAAAACTATCTTTAGCACTTAAAAATATATAGTAAACCGATAATAAATTATGACTTTATGTATTTGTATGTGTGTGTGTATAAAAATTTCATTAGAATAACGCGAAACATAAATAACAAACGCTTTAAACTTATAATGCGCGACGTCTTCTGCGCCCGACTCCTAGTGCCCTTACTCTTTCCAATTCTTTGCTTTAAATTTATAATGTTAATTAATAAAATTAAATAATTATCAAGGAATAAAGAATAAAGATTATGCAACACTTACATTAATATGAAGATAAATACAATTTATATATAATGGCAAATTAGCAGCAGTCTATTAAAATTTTATGATTTGACATCAAGCTACATCATTAATATGACTGGAATTTATTCATTTATTCATATTGACTGCCCTTTCTCGCTATTAACCGATGAAATTGATTCGGAATAATGACTCTTCACTATATCGTTTATTTTTATTAGAGGACTAAGTATAGTCGAAACGTACCGTTGAAACTTATCGTCGGAAAATTATAATTTGTGATTAATAAATATTATTTAATACACCTAACTATAACTCGTTTAATGTATTGACCTGGATTTTACTATTTATTAATTTGAAGAAAATTCTGATTTGTTTATTTTCAACCAGAATTCCAATTAATGCAACCAGACTTTTTCAGTGCAGTTTTGTTAAAAAATAGCCTAGCGAAAGCAATATCTTATAGGCTCAATAAACGCGAGTAGGAAATATTATGTTCTATAGCAATATTATATTCTGCGGCTTGTCGTTAAATAACATTCCATAATTTATATTTATATAAATTTATTTTTTTTTTCACATTCAGAGATGATATTGTTCAATTCTCATGCTTACAATTAGTTAAATTAGATCTTTGTACAAATCAAGATGCAAATAAAATTCAGGATTTGTCACATAAAATTGTTATACTCTTTGTTACATAAAATTGAATATAAACAGATATATTTAGACATTTTTAGCATTTATTTACAGATTTATTTAGCATTTTTTAATTATAACATAGATATAAATTATCTCAATTTCAAGAATATTATATTAAAATTATTGCATTGGGACACGTTAATCTTTCGTTAGCAACACCAAAATCATATGGAATCCCTTGGGTACCAAAACAAATCACGATACATATCACTTTTCGCTTTATAAACAATTATGTCGAAAGATCAAAGGTGTCTCTGCGCATACAAATATGCAACGGGTTGGGATGCAATCTCGCTTTTAGATGTTCAACGCAATAAACACAGCGATTCTCTCGATGTTGCAAAGAGATAGGTATCACACACAAGTCACACAATTGTTATCGAAGTACGTTGAGCTCAACCCGAGCATACCTGTCAAAGAGAGAGAGTCGTCACCACCAATCTGGGCGAACCAGTGCATCGTTTGCTCTGCGGAAGACAAATTCGATGGTGTACACTTTCTCTGAGAGTTATAAAGTTCACGTAGTTCGTAATACTCTTCGCGCGATAAACATTACCAGCACTGTCAGCGAAAGATATGTGTTTAATGATTAATGATATCAAATTGCATTGCTGTAGATAGCACCAACTGATTCTAATCAATATTGTTTACCTAATAACGACAGAGTGTCATATACGTTACATGATATTGCAATTTATTCGACCACATTACTTGCTAAATGATATTATTTTCTCTGAGTTGCTTAAAATTATATTATCTAATTATATTGTGGTCTTTTGAAATTTTGCAATAAATAAATACCGTTAACTGTATCTGCGTAACGAAGTTATTCATTAAATCTCTATATTCGAAATTACATTTTCGTCGAGCGATGAGATATATTGATCGACATCTCGTTATCTCACCACGTTATACACAATCGGTGCCAGCGAAGTCTTTCGCTTTGCATCCATACTGCATTAATCCGATGTACCCCACTTTCCCCTACGTTTATTAATTGCAACGTGGTTGGCTTATTTTCATCTTTTGCGGTCCGTTTTCGACAAGTATCAATGGGAACGACTGCCAAGCTGCCAATATTATTACCTACCACTGATTGCAAATATTAGATGGAAGGAAAGAGCGTGAGAACAAAGGAGGAAACGGTACCATCTACCGCTGATGATAATGTGACATGTCATTAGTAATACGGGACGCGGATCGAACGGGAACGAAAAAGAGAAAAACTGTCGAAGAACGCGAGAGATGAAATGCCGAAGATTACGGCGAATGATATGAAAAGGAGATATTTTGTGACGTCTCGAATATTGAATTACATCGCAACATGCAGAAGAGGGTTCTCTCCGATGAAAACAGCGCTTGGATTTTTCAAATAACATATGGTAGTAATATAAGACTCGCTCTCTTTTTATCGAAGATAGGAAACTGTTGAGAGTCACTTGCACATAAATGTAATTTGGAAGACGAATTCGTATCGAATCACTAGGGAAATACTCGATATACTCGCTCAAGTACAGTTGAAGACGTTGAGTGAAGTGCTCTAAAAACAAAAAGGAAAAGTAAAGAGTCGAGAGATTTGTAAAAAATCGCTGTATGAAAGTTTGATATCGTCTTATCTATTTACTTAACTATTTATGGGAAAATCAATAGACTTTATATTGAAAAATTGTGAATTATTAAAGTAGTAACTTTTTATTACTCACATCTGTGCCATCGTGTCGTACTTTCGCCAATAAATTTTTTTGAAGATCGTTAAATATCAAGGAAATATCAAATAGTAATCAAATCCCTTGAGTTAAATAATATTTTTTTATTTCTTACTTCCATGTGTGTCAAAATGTAAATCAAACCATTTTTAAAGTTAGTTTCAAAGTAAACAACGTCCATAACACATGCACTTAGTAAATAATAAACTAAATTTGAATCAAATTTAGTGTATTTTAAAAAATTAAATTATTGAAGTCTAATATTTTAGTTAAAAATTAATAATGTATCGAAAAGAAGCAGTGGCGTATAATAAAAATAAAAAATTCAAGTTAGGAATAGTAAGTTATAAATAGTAAGTTATGAACTTAACAGTGTGTCTAAATACAGGGTGGGCCATCTATTGGTACGTTTTTACAGAGTGGGCCATCTATTGGTACGTTTTTAAAAATGCGATCATAAGTAAAACAATTTTCAACATTTTCATATTTAATTAAGAATCAACATTTTACAATTGGATAATCAACGTTAACATAATACAGAATACTGCGGGCATAACATGCAATCGTAATTTTTATAGATAAAAAAGAGGAAAGAAAAAAAATTCGCTACAAAGAGCGCGCCATATCTCTTCTCTTTCATCCATTATCGTAATCAAAAAGATTTTTCTTGTTCGACTATGGAAAACAAGAAACTTCTAAAGACAGAGCGAAGGTAAAGATATTCGTTGGAACATTATTTTCGAGGACATAGATGCAAAATACACTATTTGATATTGCACGCAATCCCTAGAGCTATTAATTTCCCTGTTCGGAAACGCACAATGCGTTATGCGTCTCGATCCATCCTCTCTCTGAAAGCTGTCCTCCACACAATATCGCCGTTAATTTACTTTGACAAATGGAATGGAACAGCGTATGAAGAACAATGCGATCGCGTTAAATATTAGGTGTTCTGGTTAGTTTTGAGGAATTTTTTGCCAAAAAAACGTTTATTTTAGGGGTAGATGTTAAATTATATTTTATTCAAAATATTTTTCACCACTAGCTACAACTTTTTCCCATTTTTCTGGCAATAAGTGGATTTCGCGATAAAAAAGTGTTCGTCCTTCGAAGCAACCCATTCATCGAGCTACTTTTTTATTTCATCACATGTTTTGAAGTGTTGGTCAGCCTGATCGCGCTACATCAATCGAAATAAATAATAATCTGAAGGAGCACAGTCTGGTGAATACGCAGCATGTGATAAGATTTCCTTATACAGATTTCTTTAAAGATTTAATACAACGTGCGAAGAATTGGAGTTAAATGAGAAATTGAAATACTTAGAAACGGATTGCGAAAAAGCGTTAAAGTATTTTGTATAAACATTTTATATAAAATACACGTAAATTTCCAAAATATAAAAAATGATTAATTTATACAATGAAAAAATTTATCCTGTAGAATTGTTAGATTTTGACTTAGCAAGATTGTATAAAAATTTAATGAACCACAAAAAAAGTTTCTTAATACAATAAATCGCTTTCTACAGGGTAAGAATAGTTTTGTAATAAAATAAGTATCTAAAAGTTTAGTTTATAGATGTGATTTGAAAATAATTTTGTTAGACCATTAAAATAATTATGTAAGTCGCTCAAGCTAATCGTTAAAATATTTGCTGATTGTTAAAAACTTTGTTCATTATGGTTGAGCGCTCTACATAATTATTTTGATGATCTAACAAAATCATTTTCAGATTTGTATATATTTAAATTTTCAGATACTTCAGCAAAATTGTTTTTTCTGTATATAGTATGCAGTATTTTAAGCAGATGGTTCATTAAAATCCCGATCTGACGAAATCCTATATTAAAATTGGTATTTATAAGAATAAGAAACTCTCAAGTAATTGACTCGGATGAATAAAAATGAAAAGGTTTGAAGCCAATCGAGTCCAACACCAGTTGATATTGTGTATAAAATCTTTAATGTGATAGGCTATACGTTTCGATCCGTGGATTGGATCCTTATCAATAGCTTATTGTCGTTATAAATATATCGTTATAAAATATTTATAGTCACATATCCGTAATTTGAAGATGTAAGGATAGGTACAATGAGGTAACCGAGACAATTTAACAAATGGGACACAGTGAGCTGTCGCAGCCTGTCGCCCGGAGGAATGCGCTCATTCGAACCGGTGGTTTATCTATCATGCAGCTGCAGTCATAACCTTCGTCATCGTCGTCTTGGAAGCTCAAACGCTGGAAAATCCACCATACACATAGCTCTGTTAATCTCCCTTCGCTTGGAAGTGGGTCGGAAAACAATGGAATCCGTCGCTTCCATCTCTTGATGGAATCCGTCGCTTTTGTGTGGAGGTTGTCTTCCTAATTCTCTCCCTTTATTTCTTTCCACCTCCTCGGCTTTTCCTCTCGAATCCGCCATTCATTCACTTGACTGTTCTATCTCGCCAACCTTGCTCGAGTGGCGATGTAGAATGCGAATAGATATGCGCTAGTTGAAGTCAAGCGAATGATCCATGAGGTGTTGCCGCGGGTAACGAGGTTTTCTTATCGATGATCGTGTTTTTCACGTTTGCTGAAGCGATAATTACCGCGTCGGGTAACGCCTATTCATATATGAATTATGTCTAAGAAAGAATATATCATTGTAAAGATAAATCACCAACATCTCTTACTTGCTGATAAATCGGTATAAAAGAACAAATGTTAGAAAAATTTTCATTTTAAGTTATTCATTTTTTATGATTTGTTGTTATTTAGTTTATACTCGTATTTAAAAAATTTTTAATTTATGTAAGATAAATTGTGTTTATTGTACTATACTTATTAAAATATATTTTTAGGGGGGAAATAAAATAAATTTTTAGAAAAACATCTTTTTTTTCGATGTGCGTAGAGTAATTTTATGTAGGTAAATTTTTAATGAAGGCCGTAAGTAACGATCGAAATTGTTCTCATTTCTCACGTACGCTCTAGCATGCTAGTGTTTAATTTAACGAGCGCGAACGTGCTTCTTGAGCACGGACGATATTTATATTTCGAATTTAAAGCTTCGATAATTCTCTTTGTCTTTCAAGTTAAACAAACGTACTTTAAATATTGTGCAAGTGTTTCATTAATTTTTAAGTAAACTAGAGAAAGTAACTCGGGGAAAGACATACACGTGAATGTTCCCCAGATAATATTTTCCCACTTTCTTCTTTTGTATTATTCCCATAAAATCCGTTATTAAAATAAGAAACGAATTAAACTTTCCATTAAATTTTCAATTGCACACAGTTAAGTATAAATTAATATGTTGTATGTGTAATAAATTATCTGGTGCGAGTTACACGTACGCATACACATTCGACATGGACCTTGTTAGTTATTTAATTATACCAGATGCTGAGATGTGTTTAATTATACAATCATATAATAAATTACGCGTCGCATCCCTTGTTTCGAATTAAATTTTTATGCATTACCACGCGCGCGATTTTACCGGCCACATGAAGGACTTATTAACAATTTCATGGATGCTTTTCACAATTGATTAAATTAACGAGACAATGCCTCCCACAAAAGCGCGAATTGCATTTAAAGCGTTATTAAATCCTCTTAACCGTTTCGCAGGTTGAACTAGGAGAATTGCATTTGTTATCTACCACGACTCAGAGATCGTACTTCGGATTCATCACGACTCGATAGTACTCTCAGTTCTACCACAGATTGGAAAGCAGTTACGTGGTTTCCCGCGCGAGATTAATATCGTTATCGACAGTGGAATATCTCGGTGATGTAGCAACCTACATTCTTATGAGAATTCGACAAGGATTTTTAATTTACACGGAAAGAACGATTTAGTTGAAGTATCTAAAAATTTAGCTAGAAAATAATATTAAATAATATTAAAATAAATTTAACTGAATCATCATATTTAATGTAAGAAACTCAAGCACGAGATGAACAACACTAAAAAATTTAGACAAGCAGATTGAGCACTCTATATAATTATTTTGATAGAGACCAAAAAAATCTGTATTTAGCTTTTTAAATATTTCAGCACACAAAATCATTCTTTCCATGTACGCAAAATATTTGGCAAATTCTGATTAATTAAAACCGCTTTGCACACAGGCAAAATTACTCTGTGTAATTTTGTGTGTGTGCAAAGCGGTTTTAATCATTTTTAAATGAACGAATTGAGGAATTTTATGAAGCAGATTATTTGATATTATTACTATTCAAATTAGCATAATTTAAACGTAGCGTTTATACTAATAGATTCGATATGTAGAAAATCTAACTAAGTGAATACTTTGAGCAATTCGGTCGTACCTCTTTGCGTTTTGAAAGTACATGCTCAAAATGTCAAATGTCTTTCAAGCTTCTCTAATAAAAACTGTCCTGTATATATATTTGTATGTACATATGCCTGTGTCACTATTTATATTACAAATAAATGATCAAGCTGTGCTTTCAAGCATCACGGAAATGTCGGGAGATACGAAGTGCGATATTAAAAAGTGCACTGCGTTCAAATCCGCCGTGTAAATGTCAAAAAGCCACCGTGAGAAGTATCACATCGAGCATCACACTTGCTACGAGGTAATAAAAAGTTCTCTCAAGCCGGCGCTTTAGAGTTTCGAAAATAAGTCAGGTTACATTATAAGATAGACAAGAAAAAAAGAGAGAAAATTAAATTAAATTTTAAAGCACAAAAAAAATCACCGCATTATATCATTTTCATAACAAAGATATTTCTTTAACATAATTTTATACGGAAATTTAGGAAATTACGAATTGATTAAATTAGAACTTTTATTTATGCTTGTTGCTAAGAATAGCAAATCATTTAATTGTCTATTTTGAGATACAATGTGGCGATCCTTTCGGCTCGATAAACTGTGGTATTCTATTACAACAAACGAAAATACCTTAAATGCAATCAATCGTGTTCGTAGAACTTACCCTTCGTGAGAGAGTGGCGATTGTGTGCAGAACTGGACCTTTGGTTAGGTTCCTCAGGAGCGGCTCCAGCTGTAAAATAAATTGTTCCACATAAAACAATTCACTCCATTGTACCGAAGTTAGTTATTGAATATGCGAGCGTGTTATGGCAGTGAATAAAAATTTAATTAAAAGCGGTCGTCGTCTGGCGACATACGGTTTCGAATGTTTCGAGCACCTTGCGTCGCGCCGGTATTAGTATTTTAGTAGTCGCATCAATTCCTTGCAGTGAAACTGGTGTCATGGAAGGCAGAGGGCAGAAAATTTAATTAAAGTTACTATTTTGGATTATATTATCTAAATTCATCATCTGAATTTAGTTTAGCATTATTAATTAAGCGCACTTTAGACATTCTATAATTTACGTCAGAATTTAAGATAGAATTCTATTTATAATTCCATGCACTTTATAATTTATGTCAGAACAGAATTCTATTTATAATTTCATATAATGTATAATATATTCTATCGTATTATAATACACATATGAATTATAAATTGTTAGTTGGTTTAATTTTGCTATAACCAATTAAATTATGATTTAGAATAATTCATAAGTTTGCAATTAGTTTCGCAATATCTCGATATTCAAAATTAGATATTACGTGAAAGTTAAGCAAATATTATAAAAGATAGATTCCAGAAATACGTCTATTATTAAACGAGAAGTTTATCGTTTTTAATCGCAAATAAAACCGAAATATCGACAGTGAATGAAATGAGATATCCACACGCACTATAAAGAAATTGCATTATATGCCAATGAGTATCGAATTGTGCAATGCATGTAGGTAAGAGCTAGGACGCAATGACAAGGAGATGCGTATCTGGTGCACAACATGTATAGGGTAGATGCGGTAGTTGAACTTCGACATTTCGCAGAGAGGGTCTTTTCCTTCCATTACGTGGAGACATTCACCGACTAAATTGGGTGGAACTTGGGCGTGCTAGTGAAAAGGTTCGATATGCAGGCTCATGTACTCCGAATGAAGCATATATCTCCAGCGCACCTAATTCACTTCGAGATTCGATAGATAAAATTACACTTTGTTACTTCTTTTTACCTCAAACGTTAAAATCACCAGATTTAAATTTTTTATCTTCTTAAAAACGTGCTAATAAAGAATAATTTTTTGAAATTAATGTAGCAAAAGTGATAAATTATTGTTTTTAGCCTAATACAGCAACGATTTATCGACAATTTAAAAAAAAAACTAAATTACCTCCTGCATAAGAAACGACGGAAAAGAGTACTTAGGCTCTAATTCCAACCGCAAGATAAGATTTTAAGTGAGAGCATAGAGAGAGAGTAGGAAGAGAATAATCTGAGTCGACGGTGAATCTCGCTTCCTATAGCAGGTGTGCTGTACTTTAAAGTATCAGGCGGTGGATAATGACGCGGAACGACGGATGAGGACGCTAACGATGATAACGCGAGACATTTATGGCGAGGAGAAAGCATTTTATCGCACGTCGTCAGAGTTTACTATCGATAGTCGCTCTTACGAGGACAGCTCTCCAAATTCTTGCTAAATTCGCGCTATTAAGACGTCGTTGTCTACAGATAATGAGAACGGAGAGGGTAAGACGCCGATGAACATCGAGATAAAATCTCCGATACAACGCGCATCGCGAAAGGAAACACGAGACACAGGACAAAAAGCCGAAGTGAATCTTTTGTGGTTTAAAGATGCCGGAGGTGTACTCAGGAAGGCATCGCCACGATTTGTCAGAATTAGGAGTCTCGCTGTGAAAGGAGAATCCGCGGCTCGCTTAACAATGTTCTCTAATATATTTTTCGGCTCACATAAAGTTCAATAACTATCAGTTTTACGTTGACTTTTTGAAGGTGCAGTCATTTATAGTATTTACATTACTGTTAATTATACTAGAAAGTGAATACAAAAATATTTTTGCATTACTTTAGAATATTTATCTATTACTTTTCCCGGATGAAGAATGAGGAATAAAATGTGAATGATAGAATGAAACAATTTAAAAGCAACAAAAGGTCGTAATGCGTCAATATTTTATTTAAAATATTGCACGGATTTTGTAATATAAAGTTATTAATAATAATCGCTTATTTGTAACACAATTGAAATATCTGCGTAACGAATCTAAGAAATAATATATGTATAAATCGTGTAATAAAGTCTATTCGTCGAAGAATATTAAAAATGTAATGATGATTTTATTTATTTCGTAATATGTGTTTCGTAATATTGAAACTTAGACGGTTGGCGCGCGGCGTTGGGATTAGTTTTCACGGGCGACGCATCAGGTGCGTTGTTTTAGGCATCAAATTTGACAGCCGCTGCGCATCGGATCTGCTACGCAATTGATTTAAGAGAACGAAGTTCTGCGCTTATATAATCTCAAAACGTGTGAGATTTAAAATTAAAGAAAAATCGTACAAAAAAGTCAAATGAATACTATAATTGATGTGCTATGTAATGTTTTACCGACTGTAATTGAGAATTTAGTCAACGAAAATATAGATTTTATAATCACGCAGATCCGAAATGGTTGCGCAAAAGTAATTCCAATCATCTGCGTATCCACTGCGCATCCATTGCTAAAAGAACGAAAATCTGCGTTATAGTCGACTGCGCAGTCGTGTTAAAAGAACGAATTACTGCAAGAACTGCTGTATCTGATGCCTAAAAGAACGCACCCATCATGTTTACGCGCGGAAACCGCGCAGTCATTTGCATACCGAGGCTCGTACAGGCAGTTAGCCGCACCACTTTGGGTGTTCTTCATATTTCTTTTTAGAATGCAATAGAGACAAGAGTTACACTGAAAGAAAAGATTGGCTGCTGCAGCAAATTAGATGGTTAAATATGACATAGCATTTTTAATTGGTTGCAACAGCCGATTTTTGGATGCTGCAGCCAATTGTTGGTTGTATTAGCCTATCCGCAATGTCAATATATAAGATTTCGATTAGCTAACGCAACCAAAAATTGGTTGCTACAGCCAATTAAAAATTCTATGCCATATTTAACCATCTAGTTTGTTGCAGCAACCAATCTTTTCTTTCAGTGTAGATAATATGAAACATCATACTTTATAAATGCTCACAGTATGTGCAGATTACTAGCTCGCGATTAGCTTCATAAATCGAGATGACAATCACGTATTACGGAACAGATGTGTCATACAGTCATTTGGAATCAAAATGTGACAGAAAACAAGATTTATAATTATTTTGCGATAATTACGAACAAAACGCATTTTTATTTAATATAAAATTTTTCTTTCGATTGCGTAGAAGTCTCTTGATATATGATCAATCAAACCGTTGGTTACCACAACAATATTAATTTGTTGAATTTATTAACTAAACTGATCATTTAATGGTACAAAAGACTAACGCAACTAAAAATTGGTTGCTACAGCCAATTGAAAATTCTATGCCATATTTAACCATCTAGCTTGTTGCAGCAACCAATCTTTTCTTTCAGTGTAGATAATATGAAACATCATACTTTATAAATGCTCACAGTATGTGCAGATCACTAGCTCGCGGTTAGCTTCATAAATCGAGATGACAATCACGTATTACGGAACAGATGTGTCGTATAGTCATTTGAAATCAAAATGCGACAGAAAACAAGATTTATAATTATTTTGCGATAATTACGAACAAAACGCATTTTTATTTAACATAAAATTTTTCTTTCGATTGCGCAGAAGTCTCTTGATATATCAATCAAACCGTTGGTTACCACGACAATATTAATTTGTTGAATTTATTAACTAAACTGATCATTTAATGGTACAAAACTGTTTTGCATGATGTTTAATTGTTTATAGATCTTTTGTAATTAAAAATAGAACATTTTGTTACCGGAACAAAATGAATAATATATAAGTATCTCTCACTTTCTACAGAATGATTATGTTTGGCGTTTTTGAATTTCCTTAGCTTAGCAAAAATATATATATAGATTTGAAGCAATTGAGATTACTAATCGCTCCGAAAAAATAGTTACCATGATTGATCATGGTGTGGCGAAAACCGAGAAGTCCACGAGATTAGTCTAATCGTTTCGGCTTTATAGAGGTAGACGTTGAATTTATCTTACGAGAAGACACGCCATAGCTCCGCGAAACATTCCTTGCTCTATCATACACTGGATTATTTTGTTGAAATTATTAAAAGAATACTTATTTTGTAATGGCAACCAAATTTTACATTGGTATTTACAAAACGTGAGTAACAAAAT